CGGGAGGGGGCAGCACGCGTGACCGCTGCCGAGCGAGCCGGAGTAGCGAGAGAGCAGCGCAACGGGGCTTTGGAGCCGGGTCTCCAGGACCAGCTACGGCAGAGGTCGGGGGCAGTGGGTTGCTTACTTGGAGGAAGGTCTAAGCCAGGTTACTGGAAAAAATGGGGTGGGTGCCTGAGAGCTGGCTAGTGGGAGGCCATACATCTGCATTAGCCAGCAGAGATTAATTTCTCGCTCCCCCCCCGCCCTCTCTAGGTGAGAAGATTTGACTAAGAGCAGGTAGAGTAGTACTGCGGACCTCGTGTGTTCACTGTGCCCCGTGCCAGGAAATCCAGTAGCTAGTTACTGGACAGGCTGAGTGTTTAAGGCCAGCTACCGAAGAATTCATCGTGTGTGTGTGTACACGTATATGTTCATACGAAGCTACTAGCAGATTTCCAAACAGCTGGAGAGGAGGAAGAGGAGTCAGCCACTTGCGCCATTTATGTTTGAGTGCTGTGTATTAGATTCTGTGTTGATCGGCGTTGCCGGACACATGCGTTTTTACCTACTGGGAATATGTTCCCAGCCTTGTGACCGGCCAGACTCGGGTGCGTGGAAGCGCAGCAGCCTTGCATCTATTAAGGTACCGGACTCGGCAACTTCTGCCGTCACCCATCTCGGCATCCCTATTTTTGCTGTGGCATTGTTTTGCTTTTCGCTCCCGTTAATCTCGCGCAGACTCTTTAACCTGGTACTCCAGTAGCTGTTCTGTGTTTTTCTGTCAGGTAGGCAGCAACTCTGTGGCGGACTACGGTGCCAGACACAGCTATATAAATAATGGTTTGTATTTGAGGAGAAGATAATTGCAGCCCACAGGGTCTTAGATCCATGTTAATCTAAGGCTTTTACTGATGTCCTCCATTAAGCAAGGACACAGCGATCCTTACTCCGCTAGCCCATTCCAGACGCGTCCTATTCCACGAAGGCAGGCAGACGATAAAGATGTTCAGAAATAAAAGCCCTTCGGCGGGAACGTTCCCGGTAGCTGTGAAAGAGGAGGGAGTCTACTGCAGAAACGATCAGCCCCTAGCCCTAGCAGGGCTGAAGGCCGCAGAGAGGTATCGTGTGACCTAGTTTCACTGTGTGTCGATATTCTCGAGGCAAAGCATTGAAGGGGAAAGGGTACCACGAGTTATTTTATTCTCGGAGCGATCCGAGTTTTGGGTGCGGTTTATAACACGTTACTTTACGTCCGTGGACCAAAGACTGGATCGGAGGAGGAGGGAGAGGGCTCTGGTTTACTTGTGCTGCTGTACGGCGTCTCACAGAAATGGAAGTCCCTGTTTTCTCTCTTGGGGGACAGGAACATGCTTGTTAGGTGGACAGAGATTTCACCTTTCCCGCTTGCCCTAAGTGCCGTAAGTAAACGTTTGGGTCATTTACTTCCCAGCCAAAAAGTATTCCCAGTAACAACGCTGTCCGAGTAGCAGTCAATCTCTTCTGTCAGTATAATCGGACAAAAGCCTTCTGTGCACAAGAAAAGATGATTACGGTTCAAGACTGGCCCACGCAGAGCAGTTGCTTGCGTTTTGACGGGTGTCCTGAGGTTTTCTGGGAGGGCCGGAGTAAGACCGGTCGAATCGTTTGGTGAGCGATTGCAGAAAATTGACTGGCAGGGACAACCACTTCCCCCCTTTTTTTTAGTCAGACATCGTAAAACAAGCGCACTAGCTGGTACCGGATTGAAAATGCGATCACGCTGCCCAGGACCTAGGTAAAAAATTGGACAAACAATGGAAACGCTATAAATAGTTTACAGGCTGGCAGATTTCCCCCTTTCCAGATAGATTTGCTACGCTTTCCAGCGCGCCTCGTTTCACTAACCACCACCGTTTAGGGTGACGTTTTTTAGGTATAGGAAGATGTAAGGCAGAACCCTAGCCAAAGTCCTCGGCTCTTTGTATGCATTAGCTCTCAATGAACGGGGGGTGGGGGGGAATCTGTTTCGTCCTTGAGCTGTGTAAACCTCTGATTCTCCTCAAGTTCCACAGCTCGACGGCCTCTCGCGCGAAGAGTGTGACGCTTTACTTCCCCTTTTCCCCTCTAAACTCTTGAGATTTGGATCTGTTTCTATTGCAGAGGAAATCTTTATGCCAGAGGAACCATTTGTCTGACCTGGATGAGCAGCAACAGGAGAGTGAGGTTTCGCTCGTGGGTGGGTCCGATCAGCTTTATAATGAAGTTAATAAGCGTCATATTATTGCACTCAGTGTATTCGCCATCTTCATCCCTTCCGCTCCTCACATCTACTATGCGCAAGACCTTGACCGCCTGGGGAAAGAAGTATTGCACGCTATTTCACCGAGCGCATCTGGTGCTCGCCGGCTGCTTTTGCTCAAGATCCCTTTTGCTGTACCGTCCCTGAAGCCTGGCTCGTGCTCTTACTAAAACAGATGGGACAGGCTTACGATGGTCCTGGGACACCGCTATGTATGTTTAGTCCGAAAAATTGATTATTAACCCAGGTGAGTGACCACGAGGGATGGCGATGGACTAAGCAGAACATTTTCTTCTGGATTTGAGCTGGGAAATTAACCGGCGAACCCAGAAGTTCTGCGTTCCCGCCTATCCCGCTCCTCTCGTGTTTGATCACCGCCTCAAAATGCATCTGCGTTTTGAATGTTTTTCCGGATCTTACCTTCAGAATGTTTGTTCCCAGGGCAGAGAGGCTCTTAGTCTTGAATTTGGAGTAGCTCATCTCCAGCTTCCCTGTACTAGGATTGAGCCTAAAAGAAACATTAAAATTTTAGTCCGGGTAGAGCCAGGAGACCGAGAGATCCCTACCTAAGCAGACTTAGATCCCTAGCTGAGCGGCTGAGAAAGAAATCCAGTGGTGGAAAAAGCAGGAATAATCTGATTCACTTACAACAGCTGCCAACACCTAGTCTGTCGGATTGGGCAGGGTCAGGAGGAGCTTCCTCCCCACCGCACCCCCGATACGTGCACGAGGCTGTATAGTCTTAAAAATAAAATAGAAGAATCCAACATCTGCAGAGACAATTGCCAATATGGTGTAGTGCCACAGAATGCTTGCTCCTAGGAAATCGTAGCAGATCCTACTGCAACAGCGTTAAAAGTGGCCTGTATCAATTTCTCTCGCGCTTGTAGCTGAGAATTACTGTGTTCTGACATGGCTAAAAATCATTCTGCTGTATCCGGGGGGCAGCCGAGGTGGTCAGAGAAGTTATGTTCTTTGAGAAACCTGTACTGTATGACTTGACCGTAGCTGGCAGAGCAAGCCAGCTAACTTTTAACTATAAAACTCACTTTGATGGCTTTTAAAAAGAGCGCCTACCACCACCTTTCTCGGCTGGTGTCGGAGAGAAAAGGCGCCGTCTGCGCTACCGCCGAAGGTTGCTTGGGTACATTACCTCGGCAGCCGGTGACGGGGACAAGGAACGATGTGGAAGAGTTGAGGCAACGAGTAGAGGAAGTTGAGCACTTGCGGGATGAAAAAAAGCAGCATCGTTTTGCTGAAGTGCCCCACGATCCCCACCACGGCAAAAGTCATGCCGGCAAAGTAGCAGAAGGTGTCCCCAACAAACACTCGAGATGGGTACCTGCAATCCACAGGGCAGAAAAGCAGATTGCTCTTGCCATGAAAATGACTTTATTACCACTGCACGCGTTCCCGTGTGGCAGGTCGGGGGCCAAGCAGGAACTGCGGCAGACCTATGCGGCAAAATCAATTGCGGGTATTTACGCCGAGAACTGCGGGACTGGGACACGCGACCTGGCTTGCGGAAAATACGGTATTAAAAAACAGCTAACGAGATGCAGGAGGGAGCGTATTCTGTGCATTTTGGTGAGCCGGTGTGACCGGAATTGTTCTAATAAAAAGAAAAGCTGCTAGCGTGTTGATGCTTTGCGCGCTCGGTTCTGGCAAGAAGCCTGTCCGCGCTCCAGCGTCCCGCCTGCGTGTCGGTAAGTGGTTTTGTTTGTTTGAAAAGGGGGAAAGTAAAGGGAAAGGACGTTTCCGAAGAAACTCTGAACGTCTGTCCTCTTACCAGTTGTGGTAGAACAGCCCCAGCGTGGTAAAAAAAAAGGGAATCATGAAGTAGAGAGAAAAAATGTGATCGTCTCGATAATCCCCTGTAGAAAAAAGAAAAAAAAAAAGAAAAAAAACCACATCTGTGATAAGACAGGACTGGTTGATTTTTAGCAATACCAGATATTGAAATCCAGGATTCTATCTCACTTTGCTTTTCGCACCTGCAAACGTACGTTATCTTCCTTACCATTTAACTCTACAATGTTGAATACGATAATGGAAGCCGCTATCACCAGAGACTGCCCTGCTTCGATTCCATTAATTCCAGCGAGAATGTTGATGGCGTTCGTGCAGAACACTGCTAGCATGCCCATGTACACGTAGTAGAGGATACCTGCAGGTCAGCGAGAGCCAAGTGCTTTAGTATTCATAGGCGAAGTGGGCCCCCGGTCTGACTCACTGAAGCGCTCGCTTCCTGCTTTGTACCACGACCCACCATCTAGCGATCCCGTCAGGTTCCGGTATCGGTAGCTCGCTAATAAATCGCTCCCTCCCCCGCGAATCAGATGTCACCCGTACGCGTCCGTACAACATGGTGACTGTGGCAAACTGTCGCGACGCGGCGGCAGACCGCGGTGCTCTGTTTCCCTCCTTCGGTCAGTCTGGTGTTGGCTGCCAAGCGCCGTGTCTGCCTGGCGCTCGGCTATATCCCCAGAACCCCGGGAAAGCGACCGGTGCCTATCTGTGCGTGGCCGAACGCGTGCTGGGTTTCTGGATGCTCTTGCCAGCCTAATATTTAGCGGGCGGAGTCACGCCCCCTCACTGGTTACTCGACTAAGTCCTTTGTGTGTTTCCTCTGCAGCACAGAGTGCTTTCCACCGACTGCTCGCCGCTTGGATGCCAACTTCTGGTGATTCGTGACTTACCCAGGTCCAAGTGCATGCCCAGCAGCACCCGGAAGGGCTTAGGCACCACAACGGTCGTGTTCCCAAAGTTGGTGAAGTAAACCATGAGCAGCGGGAGGGAAGCCATGGTGGGAAGAAGGAGCTTGTGGCGCCAGCGCAGGTTCAAAACGTCATCCGCAAAGCCCAGGAAAATCATGCAGCAGATGGCGAGGAGCGACCCGATGAGCTCCACGAACTGCAGGACAGAGAACGGGAGCCCCGTTACCGGCGGCTGCTCCCTGCCCCTGCCAGCTGCGCCCCCCCGGCGCCAGGCCAGCCTCACCTCGTCGTGAGGGAAGGCCGGGCACTGCTCCTCCACGAAGCACCGCAGGAAGGGCACGGGGATGAAGCAGAAGAGGATGATCAGGAACACGGCCCCGCTGATCACGCCCTGCGCTTCGGGGCTGAAAGGCAGGCAAGGCGGGGGGTCAGCCGCGCGGCGCCCGGTCTCGGGGCCGGCCCGGCCCTTCAGCGCACGGTTCCGCGGGG